TGGTGGTGCAGCCACCTGCTCCCATGATCTAGACTCTGCCACCCTATGTGGGTGAGCTTTACTCATGCACTATTACTTGATGAGAGAAGTGAAATTATTTGGCAAGTTTGTTCTAGTTGATAAAGAAGGAAAGTTTGAGCTAGACCTAGAAACCAAATATAAATTCACCCTAGGACAGAATTCAAAGCCAAGTGTTCGTTCCAGGCACCCTGAGGCTTCCAGCTGGCCCTGCACACAAACTTGACCACTCCTCTGGCAGCTGCTCGCAGCTCGGGTGCACCAGGCAGCATCATGTCTCATTGCCCCCAGTTAAGTCATAAAGTCTCCATTGTGACGGTGCAAGGACAATTCCCTTTTGATGTTTTGGGGGTCATACTCAAATGAGGAGTACAGGGGTTGGTATCTCAGAAAAGCAACTGAAAAGCACAAGAATCTCTAAAAAGCAAAACTGAGTATCTGTCTACTGAGCTAGCCCTACCAGCCTTGCTTTGTTTGCCAACATCCTTGCTTTTCCCCTGAAAAATTCATTTTTCACTTTTTCTCAAGTGGCTTCAAAACCAATACACATTGTACTATTGAGGCTAATGGTTTAATACAATATATAACACAGAGAATTACAGCCCATAAAAACAAAATAAATCTCAGATATCATTTTGCCCTATCATCTTGCCAAAGAGAGGAACAAGGGGACCTCAGCTCCCTGCATGGGCGGTGCTGGGTGTAGACAAGGAATGCCTGACTCTCCAAGCTGCTCCTGCTGTCATGCGGTATTCCTTTCATCCTCACGATGGGTGCTTTGCCAGTGCCAATTTTTACAATGATCAGATGCAAAACTTAAAAGAAAAAAATTAAAACAAGCACGTTTTACTTTCATTGCTCTGGGGGCAGCAAAGGTTTGTTTTAGACATGTGACGCTTAAAATTCTGCAAACAATAGTCATCTTTCTAGTTTAGTGAGGGCTGCAAGGTAAAGAAGATGCCCCAGCTGCATATCAGGCTGGAATGTGTATTATCACCCAGGCCCTGGAGCCTGCTAAAGCAGAGACAAGCCCTGTCCCTGTCAAGGGACATGTCCCTCCCTACAAGGTCATGTGGATATATGGGGGCTGTAATAGCATGGTAATGAAAAGGAGAAGCCAACAAAATCCAAAGCAGATTGAGCCAAATGTAGCTCCTTAAAAACTGTGGGGTGTGTTGATGTATGTTATAGGAAAGTAAGAGGAAAAACAAATGTTCAGAAGGAAATATTAATACATCAAAATTTGCTGACAGTCTGTTACGGGCACCTCTAACTTATTTCTTTAATGTTTATGTATCTTACAATTTTTCTGCAGTCGATAAGGTAGCAAGTTATCTAATGAAAATAGCCTTCTTTCCAAAATAAGCCTGCCGGAAGGGCTCCAGTACCTGGAATTTTGTGGCAGCAATGTGCTGGTCCTGAAACCAGACTGCTGGTCCAAAATCCACCCATTCACTTAGAGTTCTGTGGTCTCGAACAAATGTCTTCATTAGCTTTTAAGTATTATCATCATGAACATTCATGCAGTGTTTTCTAGATGCGAGGCATTGCACTTGTCTTTATGGTCACCTCAACATACTTGTAGTAATAATGACCATGTACCAAGGGCTTATATATGCATTATCACATATAGGGTTGTTGGAAGCATTAAATGCAATTACATGTTTGTAAACACTGGATATTTTATTATCTGCTCTCTGTATTAGTTCATGTTAATAGCATTAAACACCTGTTCATCCGAAAAAAAAAAAAAAGTTTAGCACTTTTGGGCACGGCGCTGTGTCCCACCATGCATTTCTTCCCCTGCAAATTCTCCTAGCCCTTGAGACTCCAACAAGTGGCCTCACAGCAAGCTCTGATCAAAAAGCCAAGGGCTGCCAACCTCATGTTCTACAAGGGTCGCTTGGCCAGCAGGAGGGTCTGCCTACCTGCTCTGCGCAATGTTCTGCTGAATTTACTAATTTAAGGGTCCATTTTAATCATGTCCACTTTGTGTTTATAATGGCATGTTCTGGTCATTTTGCCAGAATACAGACTGTTAGACAGGCCCAGCCCAAGACTCTACCTCAATAAGAAAACTTTGAGATTCAAGCAGCAAATAGGTAAAATAGTAATGAAAATTGGGCACAAACACAACTGAGTTTTTTATCTGGGCTTCCGTCTCATTGAGGAGTAGATGCTTTTAAGAGCTGATACATGGATACTTTCATTACAAGAAAAGTAATTCAGTCAAGTTTTCCTGCTACCTCAAGAATGCTCCTAATTTGGAGAGAATTTGAGGCAGCGGCACTTCATGAGGTAAATCAGCCACCCCAAGGAGTGAAGACGGCACACCACACCTCCTTTGCCCAGAAGGCTCAGCCTGCTTGGCAGCCGAGCTGACAGCACAACAGCCCACATGTATTTCTCCTGCTGAAAGCGGCTAGTCAGGCACGGAATGAACTCAAGTCATATTGGTCTAACAAAAAGATTGATTCCATCAGGAGATTTGCCCCTAGATCCTTCTAAAGAAAGTCTTGGCGTAAAATATTTCATTTTTTCTTTCCTGTGAGTCTTTAAGTGGAATTGTGAATAGCAGCAATCCTTATAACTCAGATGTGGGCAGAGGACATTCAAAATAGTAGATGGCAGATGCCAGGCCCCCTCAGAATTGCTCATGCCTATTTATATAGATGCTGCCTTCCAATTTTTTCTCAGATCTTCCAAGTTCTATCACAGCCACGACAAAGTAATGACTCATACTTAAATGCAGTCATCAATGTCATATTTGGTATTAATACCTTTGTAGCATTGCTTTGTGTCAGAGCATTTAACAGGAAAAAGTCCCCAAGAGCAGGAGCAGCCTGCCACCGTCCTCAGGGACCACAAAGGGCAGGGTCTGCAGAAGGCAATGCTCATTGTGCAGGAAAGCCTGCGGCCTCCAGCAAGCTGTTCAGATAAGCAGCTGTGGGAGGGAGGGGGAGGGGGACCGAGGGAGGGGGAGGGGAGGCAGAGGTCACTGTTATCGCTTTGGAAGGCGAGGCTTTAGTTGCTGCACTGATGTCTTATCTAAAATACGCTCCTGTTTTGCAAGTTTAGAATCTACCTAAAAGGAGAAAAGTAGGAGCTGGGCCCAAGCTCTACCCTAGCAGTGGGCAGCATGCCCTTCCTCTGCCAGCGCCGACGAGCCTGTCATTCTTGCCGACAGGAAGACGGAACAGGTGCCATTAGTTCCACGAAGTTCCAGCAATCCTCTGAAACCCTGCTCACCACCTCCCCCGACACAAAGATCCCCTACCCTCAATAAAGAGCATAAGTTTGTTTCAAAGAGTTTATTGTAAATTCAAAGCTTCAACAGCAGCATCCTTTAGAAAACGAAGCATTGCCCGGATCCGTTTTTGAAAAAGCAGCGCAGTCGGCTAAGTCCTTCACGCTCCTGCAACTGTACCAAGTCCAGGGCGCCGCTCCTTCCTGCGAGCGCAGGCTGCTGAGTCACGCCTGCCCGGCCAGTCTGTCCTTCCCGGCCCTGCAGCCAACGTCCCAGCCTAGGCCTTCCTGGGCGAGCAGCCCGCTCCATACACTTGCAGAGTCCTCAGCTCGGGCCAGCCTGGCCCAGCCGCTGCTGGGCCCCTCCTCGGGAGGCCGCACCTCCTCGCTCTCCAGGCGCCCCCCCCCCGCCTGCCAGTCTCCACGCCGCACTCGGGCACCCTCCGAGGGCCCCTCCACAGAGCCAGCCGCGCTCTAGGCGCCCCGGGGCGTCACCACGTCGATCAGACCAAGGTCCCCACCGGGCCGTCACTCGGGGAGGGTGATGCTGGGCACCCAGTCGTTAACGCTGCGGCTCTCCTCGCAAAACAGGCTGAGCTTCTCCAAAGCGGGGTCCTTCCAGGCGTCCTCATTGGGGTTCTGCGGAGAGAGAGCAGGGTCAGCCTGGCTGGCAGCCGGCCGAGGCGGGAACGACACCCGGGCGGGGACGGGACGGGACTCTACTCACCGAAATGAGGATGCAGTGCAGGTCGCCCGGCGCGCCCGCCTCCTCGCCGGCGCCCACGATAGCCGCCAGCCGCTGCACATCGCCCACGCGCACGATGTCGATGTCGTTCTCGCAGCAGAACGCCTGGATCAGCGTAAAATGGATCTGCAGCGCGATGTCGCCCTCGTCCTCCTCATCCGCAGCCAGCACACAGAAGGTCACATTGTCGGGGTCCCTGCGAGGGCAAGGTGGGGACCAAGGTCAGAAACCGCGAGCAGAGGTCTCCCGCCGCCACCCCTCCCATCCGCCCGTCTCCTAGTCATTCACCCCCGCCCCGGTATCCCAGCCTTGGCAGTGTCTACACTTACACGTTCAGGACTTTGGCTGACTCGTAGACGCCGGCAGTGAGGCAGCCCTGGCGCTGGGCCGACAGCAGCAACTCGTGCAGCGCTTTCCCGGCACCCTGCATCCTGCGGAGGAGCCAGCACAGTGAGCCGGAGCCGGTCGGGGTAGGAGCCCCCAGCCCCGGTCACCCGGACGCACCCGGACGCACCCGTGGCACTCCAACTACACTCCAGACCCGGCTCGGCGCCCGCACCCAACCTCTCCAACCTGGATCTGCCGCCGATACCCCAGCGCTCGGCTCCTACGCCGATACCCCAGGCTCCTACTCCCACCCTGGAGGGCCCTGAAGGCCGCCGACCGACCAGCCGCTTTCTCCCAGCCCTGAGACCCACCTGGCTGTGCTTTCCGGAACTGTGTCCTGGCCACGGACTTCTTCCAGAGTCATAGCGCGATCGACCAGCAGCAAGTTATCCACAAGCGGAGAGCGCGGAGGGGGCACGGGAGAACACACGGTGAGTTAGATCTCGGCTCGGCTCATCTACCACTAGCGACTGCGCCCCTGCTACGCCGCGCGCCCTTATATAGGCTGGAGGGTGCTGCGCCGCCAGCTGGCGCGAGGCTGTGCGCCTATTGGCCGGCACCCGCTTTCTGATGTAAATGAGGCGGCGGGCCGGCGGCTCGTGCCAGAAGGCCACGTGGGGAGGGGTGCGGGGGATGACAATGCCTCAAATCTGCCGCTTTTGTTGGGGTGTTACCAGGCAGACTAGAGCCTGCAGATTTCATCTCGCCTTTTTTTTTTTTTTTTTGAAGTCCTTAAAAGGAAAAAGAAAAAAAAAAAAAAACCAACCCACAAAAACCTTGTTTGCTAATATGATGCTGCAATTTGCGAAAAGCACCTTTATAGAATCAAAAGGAATTTTTTTGGCATTTATTTTTATTGCTACCTTTCTATTTGTTTCTTTCCTTTAATTTGAAGTTTATGAAACTGTTGCATTGGAGCCGGAAATTAAGGTAAAAGCAGTGCCAGTTAGGGGCTTGCAAAAGGCAGTGGGCACAGCCCCTTGCAGCTGACCACTAGCGTCCGGAGAGCGCCGACGATGCCTCCCACGCACACTCAATGTATACATTGAGTTGTCGCTGGAAGCTCCTACCCCACCTCCCCGCCCTTGGCCGAGCACCGCTGGGCGCCGGAGAGGGGGGCGGGCGGGGGCGAGCAGATTGCGGCCGGCGCACGCCGCTCGTTTGCATTTCTATGGAGGGCGCACAATAGCAGAGGTCTGGCGTGTGGCGGTTTGCAGTAGGGACAATCCAGGCTTTCTCTTCATAGCAACACTGTCCACCTGCTGCCTGGTGGGGCGGGCAGGCCCCCGCCGCGCGTGGGGGTCGCCGGGCTGCCCGGCGCGTGGGGTCGAGGCTGCGTGCCACTCCGTGGTCCCTGAGTGCGCGCCCCCGTATTGGCCCTGCTACATGTAATTCCCTTCCACCCGTTTCTCGCACGGGTGCCCAGCAGTCGCGCTAGTTGGGAAGGACTGGGAGCTGGTGCGCGGTCTACAAGGCTGGACGCCCTCTGGCCGGAACCCCGCGGCCAGAATCTCTTTCCCGGGGCGCCATCTACGGGCAAGCTCGAAAGATCCTAAAACCCCTTTTCTCCTCCCCTCTCCCCAACACACACACCCTTCCGTTGGCCTGGCGCGGGAGAAGAGCGGTGGGTGGGGGGCGGACACGGAGCTGCCCGGCCAGGCCCACTGAGCCCTGTCCAACATTAACAGGAACCCGATTAAGGGCCGCAAATCGCATCCAAAGTAACTGCGGGGAGTAGAGGGCGAAAGGAGATTCCCATCCAGTGCTGATGGAGTAAGAGCCTGTTTGTCTTACGCTGTGCTGAAATACTTTAATTACTTAAATACGCATATGTAAAAATTCTTTTTTTTCCGGCAATAGAGTAAGTCTGGAAGAAATCTTGGGAGAGTTTAACAGGCTAGAGGTTGCTGTCGCTTGACCATACACGCTGGCACTTTCAGAGGGTTCACCCCCTGAGCGCAGCACTTTTGGTGTCTGTACCTTTCTGAGCTACGTGGATGGGCGCTCCAGGGGTCACCTCATTGCTCCCCTTTTTGGGGTGAGGCCTGGGAAACTGGCTGGGAGAATGGCGGGCCGGGCGGATTCGATGGAAACCCTGGCCCTGCAGCAAGACTAGGGCGATAATGGGAAAGTAAACAACGGCGAGGCTTTGTTCCTTTCATTCAGGCTTTCTCAGGTGGGTGGTTAATGTACAAAGTACTTCTGAACTTGCGGGGAAGTTTTCATTCTGCGCTTGGGGGCAGGCACTTTTGCCAAAGTGAGAAGCTGGCTTCTTGCGCCTCCCAGCGGCTTCCCCGCGGAGGAGAGCTGCAAAAGCCCCTCGCTTCCAGGATTTTAAAAAGCAAGAGCTTGCTGTAGCGTTTCTGAACTCCAGAAGGTGTCTGGTAAGGACGGCGAGTCGGGGCGGGAGTAAGGGGGAGCGGGGACAGGCGGCATTTTGCTACGTTTCTTCGCTAATTTTTTTTCTTTCTTTCTTGGTGTATAAAATGACTACATGCCTTGATTAGATAAAATATGTTAATTTTAAGTGATTAGAATACAGGTATTACTCTTACAACTATTAAACATAGTTTAATATGTACCTCTGTTCCCAGGAAAATGGGAAGATTCTTAAATGTATTAGTTCCAGGTCCCCAGGCAATGCTGGAAATAAGATTTACTTAACATGCTGGCACCCCACCCCTCCAATTCATAACACTAGAACTCTGCCCACATGCCAGGCAAGAGAAAACAAGGGCTAGACCTGACGCCTCAGCCCCTCGTCCCAGAGGAAAGCCACTACTGGATACTCCTGGATTTGGGTTGGGGGTGGGTGCATTTCCCGTCCCCCCTGAGCCAGCCTGGACCAAGAGGGATGATTGACAACCCCTGGGGCTGTTCTACTCTGCTCACATTTTTAAGGTATTCAATTTCAGGAAACTGCCTTTTCGACTTATGATACAGCCTCACTTTGCTTTATTAGGTCAGTCCCAATGGCCCCAAAGCCCCCATCTCAATTAGAAAAGAACCATTTTGTCTGCAGGCAAAGTTGGCCTTCCAGCAGACCCACCACCAACCTTCAGTTCAGACACATGCTGAAGCTTCTGGGCCTGGGATGCCCCCCTGTTGGGGAGCAGGCAATGCTCACTAGAAGTTTGATGATGCAGACTGTCCCACTACACAGCTTTGTGGCCACAGCTCTCCCAAACTGCACGCAGCAAGGGACTTGGCCTGCTCTGTGCTTCAAGTCACAGGTGGCTGAGATGTCCTGAGTTCCTGTGACTGCACCCCTAAACCTTCCCCTAAGCCTCTATAATGCAGATGATGGTGACTTACTTAAAGGGAAATCCTCAGAGGTGCTCTGTTTTAAAACCTTTTTGGAAATGTTTATAGTTGAAATGTTTTTATTAACACATTATCTGAAATGTGCTTGTCACTCTTTCATGGCTTAACTAGGTCATTGATGGGCTGATAACTTTCATTTGGGTACAGAAGGAGGGTGAGCTTTAAGCACTAAGCTTTATGAGACATTTCTTACTGTATTTTCACAAGTTACTTATATGTCATTAACTAGCAGGCATATGCCCTTATCCTATCCAAGCAATGTGCCAGAAGCCACTACAGCTCCGCCAGAGGCTGTGGGATGCAAGCTAGCCGCACACTAGCCCCATGCAGACTGCGGGTAGGATTTCTTTGGCCTATGAGGTATCTTAGGCAAAGTCAAATTCACTGCCACCTTTCCAAGTTAGCTGCATTCATATAAACACCTGGATTTCTAGCTTCTGTTGGAAAATGGGAAGATTTGGCCATCATGTGCCTAGAGTCCCCTCCCCACCTTGGTAACCTTCAGCAGGGGTCTGGGGCACTGGGATCTCGCACTGGGCACTGCTCTCCCTTTCACCACAGTCCCCACCAGAGGCCAGCTGAGGACACCCGGCTGCTTTGTTCATTTGCATCACCTTCCTGTTGCCTGCAGACATTTGTGCTTGCAATCAAGAAACTGAACTTGGAAGCACAGAATAAAGGGGCCAAGTTCCTAAAGATGAAGCCAAAAACGTTAAGCACCATTTGTGTCTCAGCTTGTGCAGGACAGTGTCCTACGTCAGCAGCGGGCTCTTGGAGCACTCTGGGCTGGCCCCTTTCCAAACGGTCTCATGTTGCCCTTACTGTTCCCCTCATCCAGCCCCTTCTCCAGCCAGAACAAGTCTCCCTGGGGTCCTGTGTTGGGTTTTCTTTGGTCCAAAAACCTCTTGAATGATAGGGGGCAGCAGTAAGTCAGTGTCAATCATTAACTCAAAAAAGAAACCAAGTTTTCATGCAGACACATAAAAACTATTACTTAAAACCCAGCAGGGACATCTCAGATGCCTTCCAGCATCTGAAGGGCACCATTGCATCGGCCCTCATCAGCACCGCCCTCCTCCTTACCCAGGGTGAAGCGCGGATCTGCACACAGGAAGGCTTCAGATGACAACTGAAATAAGGAACAGGAAGCTGAGAAAGGAAGACACCTCCCACACACACACCTAGCAAAAGCTGGACATTTCTGGTCAGTCATCCTATGGAAAGACTTTCTGGAAGGAGCAATTATTCTTGGGTGAGCACTTACATAGCATGAGAGAGGTTAACATTACCCCAGGGAAGTCCTTCAAAGTAACTGGGGAGGGGGGGAGGATACATTATTTATGCATTTGTTCCTTTTACCATCAACAGTAAGAAATGATTCATGGCACCTGTCACAGACCTAGGTAGCAACAGTCACCAGCCCACACTGTCGCTGAAAACCCCTGAGAAGCCACAGATGTTCAGTCTTCCCAGCTTGACTGAGCACCCAAGTCTTCTGAACCTGGGTTTCCCAACGTAGGAAATAAAAACAGTGCCCTTTACCCCTCATGAACTTCACCAGGGTCTTAGAAGGTTGCTCCTGGTCAACCATTTGGCCCACAGATGGGTTTAGTTTGGTAGACAGTGTCCCAAAAGACTTAGAAATTCAGGTCTGACTTGCTCATTCATGTAGGGGAGAGTTGATGGCACACATCCCTTCTGTCACCATACGCATGTCCCAAATGTCACATTAGGCTCTGCTGGCACGTGTAGGCCCTGCGTGGCGTTTGCAGGCACTAGGGTTGGCAGTAAAGTTTCTTTTCTAACAGAGTTTTGAAAATGTTAACATGTAGCATATAATAGAGTAAAGGCACCATAGAACTTCCAAAGTAAAGCTTTCCTTCTTTTATGTTCCAGAAACTGAAAGGTATTAACAACCTCCAGAAGGCACTATGACATTGCAGTTTGGACTTTGTGGAGCAGAACTCAAAGCTGGGCTTAGCTGCTTGTTGACTTTGACCTTGAGCAAAAAGTTAGCAGATGATTTAAAGTGTAAGGTAAAAAGAATTCATGCTTGTTGACCCATTAAATGCTCATAAGTTAAGCTCTCTGAAAAAAGCCATTCAAAAATGTATATAACAAGAAAATATTTATTGCCGTGTTTCTTAAAGTAATGAAAAGTTAGAAACCGTTTAGGGGGCTAGTGCTAAATCATGTGTACCCATAAATGAAACACTATGCGTCTATAAAAAGGGGTTCTGAAGAGTAGTTCCTGGCATGATGTAATATGAAAAAAGCAAAATATGAAATTGTGCAATTCTAATTCTGCAAAAACTTTCAGCGTACACGACTATCACTGAAAAAAATCACAAAGTAGAAAATGGTGATTATATCTTGGAGTGATGAGATTGTAGGTGATTTTTAATTTTCTTTACTAAGTTTTTCTGCAATTAAACATTCTGCAGTTCCATCTTAATACAAACATCTAAGACTTTCAAATGGAGTAACTTCAGGGTTTGACATCCTCGGCCTGATTGCTGAGGAGGTTATTGTGCAGAGTGATCTTTGACCGTACGGTCACAGATCCAGAAGCCAGACGTCTGCGGGGCTTTGCTCCTGAGAGGGAGCTCCCCGACTGTGACCTTTGATTCCTGCACGCCTCCTCTTGCCATCTGATGCCAGTCTGCTCCTGTGACTAAGTGAAAATCGTCATAACTGCACTCAGAGGTTAACTCTGGCCTGACTGGGAGGGAACATGCTGGCAACATGCCGAAGACAGGAAAGAAGGCCAGCAGCCTTGTCAGGAACAAGCACCCTGGGCGGCACCTTTCCATAGACATGCGGTTCCCCCGGACCCTTGGGGAATCCTCTGCGCATGCCAGGGCAAGCAGCAATGGAAGAAATCATCTTTCACTCCCTTCTTGGTGAAAATGTCTATTTTCCAGAAATGAATTACAAAAATAAATTATGAAATTTGTTTCCATTGTCTACAAAACACAGCAAGGAATTCTAAAATTTGCAAACCTGTCATGTACCCAACCTCTGTTTGAGACGCTAAGGCATGATTTAATTTCTCAGTGTTTGGATTTCGTCTGTTTGAGAAGGGTGGGGCCCTCCTTGAGTACACTGTTATTAATAGTATTGTTACCATTTTATTTACCAGATTTTTCCAGGACTTGCTGTGCACCAGGCACTGTTCCAAGCACTTTGAAAACATCATCTAATTCTCATAACAAACTCTTTATGTAGGTGTTCTTATCACCATTTTAGGCATGAGGAATCTTGGGCACAGAGAGGCTGAACAACTTGCTCAAGGTCACACAGCCAGGAGGTGTCAAAGCCGGGTGTTCAGAACTCCTCTCAGAAGCAAGAGGGAACAGGTGAACTTCACTGTGAAACCTTTTCTTAAGCCTTTAGAACAAACCATTTGCCCACCAAGGACAAGACGAGCATCCAGATGAAAAGGTTTCAAAACCATTTTTGGTTCTCCTTAGGAACAGTGCATCCTGCAGTGCCTGTCATGATACCATGGTTGCAGGGTGACATCTTGTGGTCAAAAGGAATATTGCTTCCAGCCCTAAAAAGCATCTACACTCCTGCTGGTCTAAACCCTCCAGGCCTGCAAGCACTGCCCCTTGAGCGTGTTTCTGGTGAGCCCATGGGCTCTCATCACACATTAAGGTTAACATCCAGAAGCAACAGACCCTGGTGGCAGTGGGCTCGGACCCCACTGTGCCACTGCTGGGCAGCCCCTGAGAAGCCAGGCTGGCTCAGAGGATGGTGCAGTTTGGTAGTCACGGGCAATGCCAACCGTCACCACCCAACCTTCAGGGAGAGGAGAACAGACCCAACCTTCAGGGAGCCTTCATGTGTCAGCTGTAATGTCCATGCCCACTTCACAGATGGGAGCACTCAGTTTCAGGGAGATTAACACCGTGCCCCAGGTCACAGAGCCAATGATAGAGCTGGGATTCTAGTTAGCATGTGCCAGACCTCCCGCCTCATGTTCATCGGGCCACACCATGGGCAGGACATTGGCTCACAGCCGAAAAGTTACCCTGGGGCACAGCCTCTCGTGTAACTCAGCTGTGCTTGACAGGGTGTGCACCCTGCTTTTCTTACAAAATCAGGAATGCTCTGACTCTCCTATGGTCTGGGATTCTGAATTCTTATCAGCCACATGATGTGAAGTATACAGGTTAGTTTTTAGTTACTCACAAACCCACAGACAAATTTAAACTTGGGAGGGACCTACAAGGTGACTTCCTCTGAAACCTTGTCTAATTTCCCAATCTTTTCAGCAACCCCTGACATGAAGAGCCTGCCACAGGTGAAATCCCACATGTGGCATGACAGCAATCCCAAACAAGGTGAAGCCCACTTGCTGGTGCGTTTCCCAAGCACCCAACACTGCCCACATTACCCTCTCAGAAGGAACAGCAGATGCAGATCCTTCGTCTCCAAAGCACGCAGGCATACCCTGAGGATGCCCATGGACCCATCCAGGGCCAGCAGCCTCAGCTTCCCTGGGAGCTAATTAGCCTCATGGAATCTGAATCTGCCTTTTAACAAGATCCCAGGGTAATGAATGTGTGCACACAAGTGTGTGATCATTCGTTCACCAAAAGGTGCAAGGTATAGGGTAGATGGGAGGCACTATTTCAGAATGTAAGGGGCAGGATGGTGTGAGGCCACCGGGAAAGCCACTGTCAGGCAAGGGAAGATGTGAGAAATATAGACTAGATGCAGAACCTTGGGGCTCGTAATGGTCGTGGCCACTCTTCAGATTACCTCTGAATCTGAGAACAGCAGGAGGGGACAGACTGCACATGAGCCCTTGGCTCTGCTCTCTGCTGATCCACAGTAATGGCATTTTGACTTTGCATAGGGAGTTCCAGCTAGAGACTGCACTCCCAGTCTCTCTTGCTGCATGGGGTGGTCTTGGGCCCCAGTTCCTCTACATCCCTTGCTCTAGCAGAAGTTGTTTGCCTACCAACTAGCTTCCTTCTCCACTTTGCTGTTGTGATTCAATCATGCAGTCACAGAGGAAAGGGCCTGGGGTCCTGCATGGCTGTGTGGAGCCGAGCCTCCTTGCTAGCCCATACACTCTCTTGTGTACAGTAGACAAGACACAATATTCTGTCTTAAGCCTGTGTATTTTGGAGACCTTTTAAAAATTTGTCATTTTGACAAACTTCAAATATAGAAAAATTATAGAAATAGTAAAAATATTCCCACTTACCCTTCCCCAAATTCCCCCATTTTACTATATTTGTTTCAGCCTTTTCTCTCTCCTTCAAGTATATATATTATTTCCTAAACCATTTGAGAGTAAGATACAGACATGATGCCTCTTTACCACTAGATACTTCAATGTATATTTCCTAAAAACAAGAATATTATCCTAAATCTGCAAACCGAAATAAAATAATGAAATTCAGGAAATTAATATTGATGTAATTAACTAATCTACAGACCATACTGAGATTTTATCAGTTGTTTCAATGACGTCCTCTGCAGCAAAAGAAAGCCCAGGGTCACAAGCCCATTCAGTAATCACATCCCTGTCATCTCCCTGAATCCAAAATTGTTCCTGAGTCTTGCTTTATGACAGTAACATTTCATGGCATTGACATGTTTTTAAGAGTTCGGGCCCGTTAATGTCACAGACTCCTTTCTGCCTCCACCCCCTACCCTGCTGGGGCTTAGCTGCTGTTTCCTCCTGATTCCATTCAGGTGATGAACCATTAATGGGGCCATCACAGTGGTGATGCTGTGTCCTTCTGGGCGTGTTGTATCAGGATCACATGTTTTCACTTGTCTCTGATTCTTGATTGTCATGGGTGTCCTCTGGCTACTGGTTGCCATGGAGTGATGATCATTTGACCGAGGTGGTGTCTCAGATTTCTCCAGCCTAAAGTCGCTATTCTGCCCTTTGGAATCAGAGAGTGTTTGTAGGAAGATGTCAGAGGTCATTGGAGCAGGGTGGCTGCGGTCACCAGAGTACATGCTCTGTTAGCACTGGAGCAAACTCAGCAGCAAACCTGGGCTCTTGCTTATTAAGAGTTGTTGAGTACATATATTCACACCCTTCCCTGATATTTTGAATAGCTGGGAAATTTTTATTAGTTCACCCCAAATCCACATTAAACTGTAATATTAATTAAAAAAAAAAAAAACAGCCCAGAAGAGAGCCTGGATGGTGCATTTCCATTTTACTGAAGAGTCTACAGCAAGCAATAGTTTGTGACTGAGCAGACAGTGGGCTGCTCTGTTCACTCTCGATTCACTCTGGACCAGACAGCTCCACCCGGCCTTCCCGCTTGTCTTCTCAGGCTGGATCCCACCGCTGTTGCTTTTCCCCAGGATAACTGATTTAAGCAGCCATCCTACCTGGAGAGGCTCACCTTTCTCATGTACGCGTGTGCGTCCTGGCCCCTGCCTTGCTTTAGGATGCAACAGGAGCTAAGTTCAATGAGGAAGAGGATGACAACCCTGTTGGAGCAGGTGCCCTGTACCGGGGCAGCTCCCCCATGCTCTCTAAGCTCCATCTACCTCTACTGTTCCCCAGCTTGCCTATGCTCCTGCTGGCCACTGGCTTTGAGCATCACCCTGCCCCACCCTTCAGGACCTACCCAGAGGCCACCAGGAGGCCACCTAGGGACAATATGCCCTAAGGGGAGAGTCTTGGATCACGGGTGGTGCTTCCTGCCCTTTTCTGCTCCTGGATAGTGATGGTCACAGCCTTCATCACAAGGCTGTCCTGCTAGGCCTTTGAGTCACTCAGAGTCCCGGATCGTCTCATACACTGTCCCCAGGAGAAGGGGGCTGGTGAGCAAGGACAGTGCCTGCCTCACTGCAGCTGGGAATGAATCCCTTCTGTACAAAGAGACAAGGATCCCTGCTTCAAGGATCTGGGACCACTAGCAAATGACAGGCCAGATCCAGGAAAGGGAAAGAGGAAGGACGGAAAGAGGCGGATTTGGCAAGGAGAGGGACCTGCTGGGCCACGGCAGGGTTGGACCTGCCACAGCAGCACTGCGTCAGGCTCTCAGCTGCTGCCAGGCACTCTCTAAATAAGAGAGTGGGTAAGCAGAATGAATTCTAGCAAGGAAGGAGATAGAGTATTTTCTCCAACATATGTCATAAATATGCAGTGTGACAAGACTTCCTCACTCCGTTTATGTCAGAAAATGTATATGGACATTTCCCTCCATAACCAGTATGGAGCGCCGTGCAGAGACCCACTGCCCTCCCCAGTGATTACTGCTCACTCCAGCACCTGGTGACAGGAGGGGGACAGCTGATAAAAGTGGTCCCAGCGTTGTTAGGACACTGCTCAGCAGGCCACTCTTACACAGACATGACCAAACGTGCTAATTCCCAAACTATTAATATATGTAGACTATCCCAGATGAAACCTCTTCTCAACATTTCACAGAAATAGGTCACATCATCTAGGGATTCCTTGAAATGTACACTGAATTTTTCACCCAGCACTTTGCAGTGAGCTCTTTAGTGGTGAGAGGCCTGGACTTCGTCATTTCACCCACAAACTCTGGCCCAGGAGAAGTGGTCACTCTGGCGGCAGGTTGTGGACAGCAGGCAAGACTGAAGGCCCCAGGCAGAAGCCTCTCCTTCCTCCGAGCCACCCTAAAAGGAAGCAATGATGCTCCACCTGCCACAATCTCCATCCCCTCCGGGTCACAGGACCAGTCCCGTGACCTATTCCCCAGCTGGTGACGGTTGTGTGCTGCTGTCGCAACACAGAACATGTCAGCCTGGTGGGAGACCTGGGCCTCTCCAGCTGTCACAGCACAGCATGCCCAGTGTTGGGAGCTGGCCACTGGTCTGCTCCATGCCCCACTGGCCAGCAGTACAGAGACACAGTTGCCCTCCAGAATGCAGCCTCATCTGGGACCCACCCCTCATAACCCAGAAGCTCAGGGAGTCTGCAGAGATCATGTGTCCAGGAGC